TTTTTTTTTTTTTTTTTTGGTCTTTTTGAGACAGGGTCTACCTGTAGCCCCAGCTGTTTGGGAACTGTATAGACCAGGCTGGCCTTGAACTCACAGAGATCCACCTGCCTCTGCCTCCTGAGTTCTGGGATTAAAGGTGTGTGCCACTATGCCCAGCTAGTATTTTTTGTTTTATTCATGGTCAGATGCCACCACTGCTCTGCTTGGCTCTGCTTTCGTTGGCAGAACCAACTAGAGAGGTCATTGATTGTAGCTGTGCCCAGGAAAGCTTCATTTACTTGAATAGGTGGCGGATAATAGGATGTTGATCCCCAGGTTGGAAACTGAATGTGGGCAAAAGCATACACAGGGTCTCTAGGTTCTTTTGCCAGCACTCAAGAGGCAGAGGTAGGATTGTGAGTCTCAGGATAGTCTGGGTTCCATTAGAAATGAGAACCCTGTCTCAAAAAAGGGAGAAGGGAAGACTAAGGGTGGCTCAAACTAATCCCATCCTACCGTATGCTGGAGTTTCGTGACTTTGAGGACTGCTGCTATTTTCCTTTTTCTGGTAGTGGTGAATTCCACTCCTTGATGAATGTGGTGGTATGCTTGCTAGAATCATTAGCAGAGCAAGACCAGGTGACTGTTGTGAAGACAGGATGCTCAGTTTGTGTAGTACAGGTGGAATTTGTGGGACTGGAAAAGGAGCAGTGAGCAGAGCCTGGTTCTTCTGGGGTCTGTCAGGCCCATGGGTACTCCCAGGACATGTAGGTGCAGACTACATTAAGTCTTGGTGAGGGCAAGTGGTGAGCAGAGAGTGGAGACACCTTGCCTTGTGGAGGCCATGTACAGTCTATAAAGCTGGAACAGACAGCTGTGGTTTTTGTTGCTGCCACCACTCTGGAGCTAAAAGGGAACTCCTGCCTGGGCCCCAGAGGATCAAGTAGCAACAAAAGACCGGCATGGTCCACAGCCAGAGACTTAAAATCAGCATGGCTCCCTTGCTGCTTTCTCAAGTGTGATTTCTCTCCAATTGGGACGTGGTGTCAGGGTGGGTTATAGGGAAGGGTGTGCATGTGTTTGAGTGGAGGACCCAGGTGCAGGGTCAAAGTCAAACCATCATGATTTATCAGGGGAGCAGAAGAGTCTCTCATGAGCTGGTAATTGTGCACTTAAGGGTTACTTGATACTGTTTTAAATGTATGGGTTGGAAATAAAAACAGTACAGCTCTGTGAACTCAGTGGGTGCTGGTGGTGAGGTGCACAGCAAAGGCAGTGCATTGGTGATCAGTGAGGCTGATTTTGTTCTAGGAATGCTAAGCGAGCTCTGTTGTCCTTTGGCTCCTTTTTAACCTCACACTGATTATTGGGAGGAGCTGCTGCCCTAGGCTCCCCAAACTGTTCCTTTAGGTATAACAAGTATATATATTTTTAATGTATTTATTTTTATTTTATGTATATGAGTATTTTGCCTGCATGTATGTAAGTGCACCACATTTGTCCAGTGCCAGTGGAGGCCAGAAGAGGGTGTTGGGTCCCTTGGAACTGGAGTTAACAAATGGTTCTTAGCTGCCATATGGGTGCTGGGACCTCTGTAAGAGCAGCCAGTTCTTTTAACTGCTGAGCATCTCTCCCCAGTCTGTACTTAGGTTTTAAGTCCTTTTCAATTTGGGATGTAGATTGGAGAATCAGTGTTTATTTTTGTTATTTTGGAGCTGTGATATTGCAGAGTTGTCCAGGATGCCTTGAACTGCTGTGCTCAAATGATCTGCCTTAGCCTTCCAGGTTAGCTGGGACTGCAGGTGCAGGCATGGTACCTTCTCCATCTGATTTTGAGCTTACACCTTTGCAGAGATTTTATTTCCATTATGAAGTGCTCTTATATTGGAAATACCACCCACCCCACCCTCCACACTCATGTATGTGCAGTTCAGTGGTCAACTTATGGTAGTTAGTTTTCCTTTTACCATATGGGTCCCAGGATCAAACTCAGGTTGTCAGGCTTGGTGGCAAGTGCCTTTACCTGCTGAGCCATGTTGCTGGCCACATCTGTCCCAGTGAACTTTGAGCCAAGGGCTTCTTGAAGCAGAGAGGACAGTGTGGCCACTGGCAGTGTGGGACGTGACTGGAATCCAGATGTATTTATTATCAGAACCAATAGGATTGAGTGTGGCAGAGTGGTGTATATCTGTGATCTCAGCAGGCAGAGTAGTCTAGGGTTATATGAGACATTGGAGGTAACCCCTGAAAATGAAGTAGTTTCAGCCTTTCAAATTTCTCCTTTTCCTTTTCTTCCTTTTTTCCCCTTGGAGATAGAACTCTGGGCCTTGCACATGATAAGTATATGCTTTAGCATAGAGCTAAACTTTCAGCCTACACAAGAATATTAGAATCTTTCTTGATTTCTATGAAAAAAATCTGCTGGGCATTTTGGGTATGTGTCATGTGTGTAGGCCAAAGGTTGACGTTGTGTCGTTCTCAATTGCTATCCATCTTGTTTTTCAGATAAGGTCTCACCAAATTTTTAAAAATACTTAACGTATTTTAATTTTATTTTTTTATGTGTATGAATATATTTCCTGCATGTATGTAAGTGCACCTGTGTTGGGCAATGCCCTCGGAGGTCAGAAGAGGGTTTCTGATCCCCTGAAACTGGAATTATGGACAGTTGTTAGCTGCCTTGTGGGTACTGGGAATCAAACCCAGGTCCTCTGCAAGAGCAGCCATTGCTCTTAACTGCTGAGCCATCTCTCCCGCCCCATAAATGGGTTCTTTTGACTCCATGAGGTCTGATTGATGCTCCACTGTGGAAACACAATTGACTTTGGTACACTGACAGCCAGTGACTCACCATGGTCAGCATCCCACCAAATCGTCACAAATTGAAAATGATATGAGTCAAAAATGTGCGAAGGGGCTGGCAAGGGGGCTCAGTGGGGTATGGTCCTGATGCCATAACCTGAGTTAGGTCCCTGGAACTCATGGTGGAAGGAGGGAACCAACTCTCTCCCCCCCCACCTTTGGTTTTTTTTTTTTTTTTTTTTGAGACAGGGTCTCCCAGTAGCCCCAGCTGGCCTGGAACTCACTATGTAGACCAGGCTGGCCTTGACCTGCCTCTGCCTCCTGAGTACTGGGATAAAAGGCATGCGCCACCACGCCCAGCAAGAACCAATTCTTTAAGTTCTCCTCTGACTGCCAGACAAGTACACACCTCACACAGAAATGCCAAAAAATTTTTAAAAGTGTGGATTCTACCTGTCTCCCTCCATCCCCAGCTCATGCTGTATCACTGCTTCTCCTCTTGTGGTTGACTAGCAGCTGTGGTAGGCAGCACTACCAGCATGCTACCAACAGCACCAAAGACTAAATCATTTTTTGCATTGCTAGCCTTGTACGGGTCTAGTTTCAGGATAAAGTGTGGCTTCTGTGGCGTCTCTGTTGCTTTTGTTCCATGGTCAAGTTGAAATCCTTGAAAGGTAGGGTCTGTCTGTGTTGGTCTGATTGCACACAGAGGCAGGTACTCAGGTGAAGGGGGGGTGGTCTCTTTCATTCCCCCAACCCTCCTTCAGAGAAGCCTCATCCAAAGAGGATGAGCAAGTGAGGGTTAAGAGCATTCATTGGGTTTCTTAGCCTAAATTGAGCTGGAAGCCCTGGCAATGTCTTTGGTGAGCCTGGGCCTCATGTGGGAAGGGACTTTTACTCCTGGGTGCCCAGAGGTCTTTCTAGCATTCACTCCTATCCTTATTGGACTTGTTTTCCTGTGGGAGTGTTTCTTGAATCTATGAACCACAAATCACTGTGAACTCAGTTTAAAAAAAGGTTTTTTTCCTTTTTTGTTTTTTGAGACAGACTCTCATTATATAAACCTGGCTGGCATGGAACTCACAGAGATATGCCTGCCTCTGCCTGCCAAGTGCAGAGATTGAAGGTGTATACCACCACACCAGCAGTAGAGCATGTACTTAAAATGTGCAGGGCCCTGACCTCCAGCCCCAGGGAGAAAGAAAAGGAAAAGGAGACATTTGAAAAATGACTCTACTTGATTTCAGAGGTTAGCTGCAATGTCTTACTACATAATCCTGGACATAATCCTCAGTCATGTGGGCACAAAGAATGACAACAGAAGTGATATGGGCACTGGGCAACCTGCATGCACAGGAGCCCTGTTAGTGGGTTCCAACCAGTTCACAGGGTCCAACCCCTTGTCTGCATGCCTAACACACAGACTCCAGGGGCTGTCCTGGGGCCCCATTGCCTACAACCTTGAACATTCTTGAGCTACATCTGACAGCAGGCAGCTTTTCTTTCCTGGGCACTTGTTGACCTCTGGGGTTGGAGGTGAGTTGCATCAGGAGGTGAATGTGGGTGCTCCAGCTCCTTGTGCTCTTGTCTTCTTCAAGGACAAGCCTGCACTGCCAGCAGTGTGTGGGGTCCTTCCCTTCAGTGTCAGAGAACCTGGTAGCAAAGAAGAGACCCAAGACCAAATCCTAGGCATTACCATGCATTCTGGTTTCCTGAATATCAGACACATACGATCCTTGTAAAATGGGTCCCATCCTGAGGCAGTATCTGTAACATATTTGTTGGTCAGCAGCACCTTTTCCAGCTTAATGTTACCTTTTTTGTCACTCCTGTGCTTGCCATGTGGACAGACACCTTGAAGTACTTAACTGTATGTTCTAAGTGATAGATGGGAACCATCTAGCCTCTGCCTGGTAGTCAGCTGTCTGGATGTTCACTGGTTGTCTTTTTGTCCACTCAGACATTCAGAGGCTGTATAAATTGATTTCCGCTTCTGGCCTCTGTTGTGGAAGTCAACAGAGGACACTTTTCATTATTCCCATGGCTGGAGGCATTTTATTCTGTTGTCAGTCTTGGAGATGGAAAGAACCCAGGGCCTTGAACAGGCTCCACACAGTTCTACCACTGGGTCATACTCCACCCTTGGAGATAATCTGAAATTGTCAGGTGTCCCCAAACCCTTCCTTGGAACTCAGTGTTTTTCTCTGTCTTTGGTTTAGGTTGGCCAGCAAGTCCAGCCAGCACGTCCACACAAGTTGCCTTTTGACAGAGCTGTGGCCATGGCCACCTGGTAGGTCCAGTGTCCTGGACCCTGAGGCCAGGTGAGTGCTGGGGACCATTGTCTGTTAAATGGAAAGCTGGCTTAAGGCAGCTCCTCTCACAGTGAACCGGCCTCCCTAGGGAAGATAAGGCTGGGAGGCTGGTCCCTTTGGGATTAGGTGTGATTCTTGAGCCTTAGGCTAAAGACACTTTGCTTGCTGCTTTTGCTCAAAGGCTAAAAGGCCTAAGTAGGATAGGTCTGTCAGCCATAGATGGCTAACCTTTGTCCTCTGGCTGTCTGATCTCCCAGTACTGCCCTAAATGGCTAGAATTGTTCTTTAATCATTGCCTACCACTGTGCCAAGAGCAGTTCTACCCCCACTCTACCTTATACCTGCTGAGAAAGCTGAACCTGTTTCCTTGTGGGCTCTCATATGGAAACTCAGCTTGTAGAGGTCAGAGCCCCACACCTGGGGGCCAGGATTAGGTTGCTGCAGGGCCTGGCAATGTCATTTGCCCAGGGGAGCCATGTACCTGGAAAAGAAGTGAGTAGGTACCTTGAAGGGTACCTAGAAGTAAGAGGTACCCCTAAGGCCTCCTAAGACATGCTTCCTTTTGTAGACTGAAACACATACAGCTCAGTAAGCAGGTTATGAGCCAGGTCCGAAGCCACCTGAAGGTGCCTGATTGACTGCTGACTTCTTTGTTGTGCTGAACATAGGATGTGACAGTGTTAGGTTAGGGCTTTTGCTTTAATGGTAGGGTCTCACCTTGTAGTGCAGGCTAGCCTGGAACTCATGTCTGTCTCCTGCTTTAGCCTCTCAAGTGCTAGGATTATAGGCGTGCACCACCATGCCTGCCCCCTTGATCTATGTTTTCTGGGTTGTGTCCTGGTTTAGTAGGACCTAGGCTACACTTTGTTGAAGTGAGGCCTCCAGCTTCATGGTCCTCAATGTGGCTGGCAACTCCTGCCTATTCTCAGGGTGCAAACATTCCATATACCTGCTCTGCTGGGGTGTATACACAGGTTACTCTGCCCACTTAGGTTCATAGACATGATATTTGCCCTTGAATCTCACTTTTGGAGGGTGTGGTGGAGGGGAGTATTTTTAGTAGGAATACACTGCCCATATGCTGGGTGTTACAGGTCCAAAATGGAAGTGACTTTAGAAAATTAGATACTTTCTAGAGAAAGTGGTGTGGTTGGTCGCCCTCGTTGTCTTCTTATTAATGAGAATCCTACGTGTTTCAGAGACCTCAGGACATCTCCACCAGAAAACACCCAGCTTCAGGACCCTGCCAGGGTGGAAAAGCTGCTGTGTGTTTACCCTGGAACTGTGTCCCACTGAACAGTGAGGAAGGATTGTGACAGGGCTGCTTGTTACCATCTTAGCTTTGGCCTGAAGGAGGCGGGGGTGGGGTGGGGCTTTGTGGTTGGCCCTGAGTTCCGTGGTGACAGGGTTTCTAGGTGAACTGGCAGGTGGAGAAAACAAGCTGAAGGAAGCAGAGAGGAAGTGCTGAGGCTGGGGACTTGTTTAGTGTGGGTTACTTCCCACACGTGTGAGTTCCTCGGCTCCACCTATTGCTAATAAAAGTGCAGTGTGCTCCCGTTTACCTAAGGAAATGTGCGTATGTTTGCTCTGTATAGTTTTTTTTTTTTTTTTTTTTGGGTCTTTTTGAGACAGAGTCTCCCTGTAGCCCAGCTGTCCTGGAGTCACTACGCAGACCAGGCTGGCCTTGAACTCACAGAGATCTGCCTGTCTCTGCCTCCCCAGTGCTGGGATTAAAGGCGTGCACCACCATGCCTGGCTGCTCTGTATAGTTTTAAAACATTGATTGTGTATGTGAATGCACTGTATGTGTACACCAGAACATGTGTGGAAGTTAGAGGATCCCTTGGGAATTGTTTTCCTCCTTGTACCTTTATGTGAGCTGTTTAGGGGTTGAGCTTGGGTCATTAGGTATGCACAGCAAGTGATTTTACCTGCTGAGCCATGTTACTGGCCCTCTTTATCAATTTTGAGGAGCTAAGGAGGGATCCCAGGACCTTGCACACGATACCCAAGTACTCTGCTGATGAATTGTATTCTCAGCCTCAAACTTAAAATTTTAAAAGCTGGTTATAGGAGTCACATTTTGGTTTCAGGGTAAAAGTGCCCTCGTTATTCCTGTTAGATATTGTCTTGTCAGAGAAAACAAGGCTGTAAGAAGCAAAATTTCCAACACAAAAAATATAAGTATAAACTCACACAACTTGAGTAAAACATAGATAGCATTGAATTCTGAATCCACATCGGGAATGTGTTTACTGTGAAACACTATGTAGGAGTGTGTTGGAAGGGTCCATAGGGCAGGTGAGGCAGGTGATTTTGAACCAGAATAAGTCCCAGAGTTAGATATATTAGAGTTCATGGTTATATGCTGGGTCTCGACTGAGTGGTAGAGTGCTGGCCTAGCATGTGTGAAGACCCAGGTTCATCACAATAAAAACAAGAAGCAGAACCAAAGTGTATATGGTGAGCCAGGCACCGGATCACAACTCCTTGGAAGGCTGAGACTGGAAACTACTTGGGCCCAGGAGTTGAGGCCAGCCTGGGCAATAAAGTAAGATCCTGTCTCTAAAAGAGTAAAATTCTGGGGCTGGAGAAATGGCTCAGTGGTTAAGAACACTGGCCGTTCTTGCAGACTACCTGGGTTCGAATCCCAGAACCCACATGGCAGCTAACAACTGTCCTAAACTCCAGTCCCAGGGGATCCAACAGCCTCTTCTGTCCTCCTTGGGCATTGCACGACACAGGTGCACTTACCTACATGCAGGCAATCCACTCATATCCATTAAAAAAAAAAGTAAAATTCTGCTGGGCATGGTGGTGCACGCCTTTAATTGCAGGTGGATCTCTGTGAGTTCGAGGCCAGCTGGGGCTACAGGGAGACCCTGTCTCAAAAAGACGAAAAAAAAAAGTTTTGGTGCTCAAAGGAAATAGACTGTCCAGTTCCCTTCAGAGGATGTTGGGGAACCAGCATGGTTTCATAGGTGCAGGAGAGGAAGGCAGCATATGTCCTGCTTCTCTAGACTGAACTCTGGAGCGCCACCGTGGAGGGGCAAAGCTATCAGCACAGCCTATAGAACCTGTGCCCTGGTGGGCCAGTCCTTTTCTTTTAGGCGACAGAACTTTTCCGTGTGGACCAGACTGTTCTCAAACTAATGATCCTCTGGCCTCCACTTCCTGAGTGCTGGGGTGACAGGTGTGTGGTGTGTCTCCACACCAGCTTGTGGGGAAGCGTGCATGCACACATAATCCATAATGGTGTATTGGAGGAAGTAAACTTTTCATTTTAATTAAGTAGCTTCAGTGGCCAACACACCTTTTGACATATTCTTGCTAATAAATATGAACATAATAGTACTGGAAGTTTATACTTTTGCATACACAGAATGAATTGGAGGGGTTTAGACAGTGTGCCCAGGGAGGGCATCATGAGCTTCCAGAGTAATGTGCATTGGCCACTCTCAAGGGCTAGTTTACAGGAAATAGGGGGCATGCCAGGTTAACTACAGGGATGCCACTCACAAAACCCAACTCTGGGAAACACAATTTATGACCTAATTTATAGAGGGGTGGGGGTGGCCCATGGATCTCTAGCAGATATTGAGGGGTGGCTGCTGGATGGCTGAAGGTGCCACTAAGGGCATAGTCAAAGTGTTGGTTTCACGCAGGCCATTGCAGCAGGCATGGAAGATGCAAGGCCAGGGGCCTTGGTGGTGAACATGTGCTGTCAGTTGTACTGGCTTTACTACTTTGTGAGTGTGCTTAAATTTTCCATAAAAAAAAAGTTGAGATCTAGCCAGCACTCAGGAGGAAGACTCTGAACTTATTTTCCTACCTCTGTCTTCCAACTGCTAGGATTATATGCCCCAGTTTGTGTGGTGCTGTGCATAGAACCCAGAGCTTCATGTGTGCTAGGCAAGCATTATACCAACTGAGACTCAGACCCAGTTTTTTTTTTTTTGTCTTTTTTTGAGACAGGGTCTCCTTGTAGCCCCAGCCATCCTGGAACTCACTATGTAGACCAGGCTGGCCTCGAATGCACAAAGATCCGCCTGCCTCTGCCTCCCAAGTGCTGGGATTAAAGGCGTGTGCCACCAAGCTTGGCTAGACCCAGTTTTTAAAAAGATTTATTTATTTATGTATATCTGCGTGAGTATATGCCCATATGAGTGCAGGCATCTCTGGAGGACTGAAGAGGGTATTGGATACCTTGGAGCTGGAGTTACAAGAGGTTGTTAGCTGCCATGTGGATGCTGGGAACCAAACCTGGGTCCTCTGCAAAAAACAGCCAGTGCTATCTATCCAGTTCCCTTATCAGCCAATCCTGTACCTTCGGAGAAATGCCTTTTCAAGTCTTTGCCCCATTTTTGAATTGGCGTGTCTTTTTGTTATAAGAATTCTTTCTGGGGTGAGGGGGTGGCTGCTGGGAACCCAGGCATTTGGCATAGTAGGTATGTGTTCCCCTGACTATCCCCGCTAGCTGTAAGACTTCATTTTCTGTAAGATGTTTTGGACACTAGACTCTGCTCAGGTGAAGATTTGCTCACTTCTCCCAGCATTTGTGTGTGTTTGTCACTGTATTGATAGTAATTTTTTTTTTTTTTCGGTCTTTTCGATACAGGGTCTTCCTGTAGCCCTAGCTGGCCTGGATTCGCTATGGAGACCAGGCTAGCCTCAAACTCAGAGATCCTCCTGCCTCTGCCTCCCGAGTGCTGGGATTAAAGGCATGCACCACCACGCCTGGCCTTGATGGTAATTTTTGATGTACACAAAAGTTTAATTTTGATGCAGTCTGAATTGTGTGTGTGTGTATGTGTATGTCCGTCGGTGTGTCCCCGTCCACGTGTCCATCTCTATACATTCATATTTGTGTGGGTACATCTGTACCTAGATGCCAGAGAACAACGTTGGATGTCCTTAAATGCCATCCACCTTGTTTTTGTTGTTTAAAGATTTTTTAAATTTATATGTATATGGGGCAAAGGGGGGTGGTGGACAAGGGTGGGCAGGAT